AACACGAGTGTCTCATGACTACTCGCCTGCCCGCCGTTTATTTTTGGAACCACTCGGTAGATATTAGATGCTAGGATAAAAATACATTAACGCTTCGCGGTTGTCTCGCGAGAAGATTCAATTTTTATTATTTTCCCGCGGAGACGCATTTCACGTGATGCCGCACGCAATAAATTAGCGATATATTTGTCGGGAAACGATGAATGAATCTGAAACATCTCTGTACGTAGGACGAGATCACACGGTTACTTAAAAGTTAAATAATCGCAGTGCATTCCGCATTCCACAAAAATTACAAAACAATAGTTAGAAAACTTGTTTTACTTCATATAAAGAACAGTGTTAAACTTATGGATATTTTGATCCGTATATTGCATTATGGTATGGTCTAGAAAGTCCCCTAATTTTGATAGTCATGTAATTATGTTAATAGTCACGTAATTATACAGACTGTCCCAATATTCCGTGGACATAGGACTATTACGTATTTTTGGAATCAAAATAAGTTCATTAAACACAGTTTACCTCTATACAAAAGTACCTCGATTGTTTCTTAGAGGGCATAAAACTTTAATAAATATTTACGATACAAGTGAGTTAACAGTATCATTAAGATACGCGTGTGAAAGTAGCACAACGAGTGCGTAGCACGAGTTGTGTATCCACACAAGTATCTTAGTAGTTAACTCGCGTGTATTGTACAATATTTTATCTACGTCTAACTATAAAAACACACAATCAGTTTTAAAAATTATTGTACTTAATTATATACCTATCCTAAAAATCAATTACCTTAATACCTTTATTCAAATAACACCATGCATGGCAATGTCAATATGACAGTAAATAATATTGATGTCACTAGTTTAAAAAAATGAGCGATTCGGAAAGTATTCCCTCAAACACAATAGGCCTCACAGGTCGCAGTGTTTCCGGCAGTGGACGACCCTTAGTGTGAAAAAAAAAGTATTCCCTCTGACATTGAAGAAGAGGCATTCGGAGCCATATCTGGATTGCTTCCAGCAAGATCGAAACAGAAGTATGAATATACATACTCTATGAAAAATGGTGCACCGAAAAGAGTACACAACTATGGAAATGAAAAGGTACTCATAACATATTTTTCCAATTAAGTGCAAAATAAATGTTTTACAAAATATGTTTTTCTCTTTGGTAGTCACCTAAACAAGGAGTGCGGTAATGAAAATACGTGAGTTTAGAGCTTTTTAACTCACTGACGGTATACAGGGTGCTACAAATTCGAGGTACGAGCATTTGTTTGTTGTTCGAGGTACGAGCATTTGTTGTTTGTCTCGGAAAGCGTAATAGATACAAAGATGGTTAAATTGGGGCAAAGTTGCGCTTTCGGATGTTCACCAAGACGCCATCGAAAAAGTTTTAAAAATTTCAAGGACTGCTGAGTTTTTTGGAAAAAACTGATTTTTTTGAAAATCAATTTTATTTTTTCCTGTCGTTATTTTTTAGAAAATCAAAAAACTAATTACACATTCTCCTGGCCATTTTATTTGGCCTATCGGATAGTATTTTTAGATTTTCAAAATAGCTTACAATTTGTGAAATACAGAGGCCAGCTTAATTTTTTTAAATACGGACCTGCATTTTTTATTTTATGTGTTGAAAGAACTCGGTCTCCCGAGTACAATGATATGCCACACTTAATATTTTTTTTTGTTTCGGACATTTGAACATAATTTATTTAAACTAATTTCAAGTCCGGCTCTGTTGTTTTTTTAATATTCAATCTATTAATTATAATATTTAATTTATTCATCGTTACAATATTGATAAGCTTTCAAAATTAACAATGACGTGGAGTAAAACATTGAATACGGAAAATCAATTGCAATAAAATAATAAAAAATAATATAAAATAAATAGTACCTATAAATATAATATAATACAAACAATCAAATAGATCTTCAACATTTACAAAAAAGAGTATTGGAAAATACATTCGGAAGTATAAGAAAAAAGTTCAAAGAGTTATAAATAAAATTGAACGAAAAATAAATTTGTGCAATATTGGAAGGGTGGTAACCCTTTCGAACATGTAGAGTTTGCAGAAGTTGATTTATTTATAATAACTAGATACGATTAATATTATGCATATTATTAGATCGCACACTGAGATTTCCAAATTTCACAATAAAAAAAAGTTTAAAATAATATCTTTAAATTGCTGACCTGGATATTATTTATTTGAATCTTCCAATTGGCTCTATTTTCCTTATTCAATGTTAATTAGTAATTAGTTATTGTTGCGATGAATATAATCAGATTAAATAATTTATAAAACCAGAGTTGGACTTGAAATTATTTTAAATAATTAAATAGTTGTTGTTAAGGCATTCAAAACAAAAATAGTATAAAGTGTGACATATCATTATATTCAGGAGACTGAGCTCTTTCATAACCTAAAATAAAAAGTGCAGGTCCGTATTTGAAAAAATTAAGTTGGCCGCTGTATCCCACATATTATCAGCTAATTTAAAAATCTAAAAATACTATCAGATAGGTCTAATAAAGTGGCCATGAGAATGTGCAATTAGTTTTTTGATTTTCTAAAAAATAACGACAGGAAAAAATAAAATTAATTTTTAAAAAAATCTTTTTTTCCAAAGAAACTCAGCAATCCTTGAAATTTGTAAAACTTTTTTGATGGCATCTTGGTGAACATCTCAAAGCGCAACTTTGTCCCAATTTAACCACCTTTGTATCTATTACTGTTTTCGAGATACCAATGCTCGTACCTCGAATTTGTAGCACCCTGTATAGATAAAAAAATAAACACATTTTTTTAAGATGTTTTGAGAACCGCTATTCTGATTTGAATGAGATTTGGCGTATCAATGTTTAACTTTAAGTGCTATAACATTTTACTGTAACAAAAAAACAAGAAAAAGTATGGGAAGGGTGAAAACTACCCCCATCCCTATATAAAATTTAGTATAAATATTTTCCAACTCCACCGACGACTAATTTTTTTTCTAAAATGGTCCTCCTAGTATTTACTACATTTTTTGTCTCTTGTAAAAAAACGCCACATCGCGTAGATATTGAGAAAAAAATTCTCTATTTTTATCCAAAGCAGACCTACAAAATATACAGGGAGTACCAATATGCCGTGGACATGGAACATCTACGAATTTTTTTAATCAAAATAAGTTAATTGCTCACAATTATGTATAGAGGTACCTATACAAAAGTGCTTTGTTTGTCCAGATATATGAAACTTATTTTCATACGTAATTTTAGACTTCCTGTGTAATAAGTATTTATTAGTGTGAGATGATATTGCCGACTATTTTTACACAGCACAAGTTGAGTGTGAAAATACAAGCTCAATTATTGGAAAATAATAATAACTAATGTTAAGTTTTGCAGTACTTCAATAAAAAAAACTAACAATAACATGAAGTTCAAAAATACTTCGATCAAAAATAAACTTAAGTGAAAATTACTTACGAAATACTTTTCGTGAGTAATTTTACACTTTCTAGATAATAAGTCTTCCCTGGCTTGAAATGGTTTTATTAAATTTTCCACTGAAAGTTCTTTTAACTATGATAATAGGTAAAGCAAAATCAACAACACAGAATGTTTTTACCGCGCAAGTTAATGTTTGTTAGAAATAGAAGTTCACTTTTTGGAGGATAATAATAGCTGAAGAAGTTTTGCCGTACTCCAATAAGGATCCAATAATAGCATTTTTGATGAAGTCCAGTCTTCAAACTGTAACTGGAATTCTAACAGTATATTTACAACTCAATGAATACTTTCAACAGTGAAGTTAAATGACAATGAATACTGATAATGAAAGAATCAAATATACAGAACAATGATAATGAAAGAGGTAGCGATAGCGATGTTAAGTGGAAGGCGAAGTATATGCGACTGCCCGCCCATCTGGTTTATTAAAGTCTATGTTTCCCTGTATGTCTCCCTGGAGAAGATGTACAAAGGAGCCTTGGTGCTGTAATCTATTGAAAAAGTCTCCTCCCCACCGTTCAGATCAGATCAAAGTGTCATAACAATATTAATAAGAAGAAAAACTTTAAGGCAAGATCAGCATCTTTGCGAAATTGATGAAATCAATATAGGTGTTACGATCAATAAAAACAAAACTTCTTGACGTACAAAAGTAAAAGGGAGTTGTTAACTAAAGAAGGAAGTGAAATTTTGGAGTGATATAAGAGATGAGAATAAAAAGATGTATTAGATGATACAAGATCTAGTAATGATTATTAAGTTATATCACTAATGTGGAATACAATGATCGATAACACAGCACAAAAATTAATACAACTCTTGAAGCGTATCCACAACAGTCTTTTACTCTTAAAGTATTTAAATAATTTGTAGATTACAGTTGAGAGTATTACAACAGCAAAATAAAACACTAATTCACCACAATACACCAAAACACTTTACTTTTGGACACGCATTTCGCTAACTATGTTCATCAGCAGATGATTAAAACTAAAAATTAACATTTTATGATATAATTAATTATTATTAACGACAGTGGTAATTAAGCACTAATATTATTAAATCTACCGAGGTGTGAGACTGTGTCTACAATTCAAATATTTAAGTATATTTCAACAGGTTACTGCATTTTACGAACCGTTTTTAAAGATGTTAATTTTTCGCACATAAAATATATTTACACGTAGCTATAATTACTTTGTTACACAGAAATGCAATATGGTATTTATATGAGTGACGGAGTACTACTAATATACGGTGTTATCAAAAAAATATATATCTCAATAAATGTGGAAACACTCGCTTCTCTTTTAAAAGAAAGTTCTTTGTAAATTTAATTATTAACGAATACTTCAAATCTTCGCGATCAATAATTGTTCCTATCAAGGACTAGCGTGTTAGAAATCAAAGGCAAATGTTATTTCAATGATGAATTTTGCAATAACTGTCTTTTAAATAGCTTATTTAACGATTATTTTCTTTATTTTCAGATGATGATCACAGTGACAGCGAGGAATCGAATACCAATTCTTCTGCACTCTCCTCCGGTCGCTATTCCCGAAGTTACCGCTCCAACGGACTCCATTCCAAATATCCTTATTCTAGTCAGTCGACTCCGGCACGAAGGCGGTACCAATATGATGGCAGCGCGAAAACCACCAGGTCGAGCAGCACGACCAGCGAGAACAAAATTACGTTTAACGAAGGTAAGATTCTCTTTGTACTTCCTTTTTTAACTAATAATAAGTCGCATATTTGAAAACTTCCACGGCAAACGCCAAGTACTGATCTTGCATCGTATCTTTGTATTTCTTCCTCATTGTTCAGCTTCATATCGGAGCCAGACATACGACTAGGCTTTACTAAATCCAGAAGAGTTTTACTGAACCATTGTTACCAGATACTGTTTCCAGATGTCACATTGACATGCTTGATAGTTTCTTCTTTTTCCTAGCAGTCTCGTTCTCTGTATATGTTATCTGAGTTTGCACTCATTTATAGATTAACATGATCTGAGCATTGACCCCTAAAATACTGAATTTAGGGCACAAACGTCATTTCTGTCAGCATTTACGAGTTCTATGAGTTTGGATTTGGATAACCTTGGTTATAATGATTTGGTATGTTCCATTTTGCGTCTCCATGGTGCATTTTTAGTTCCAGCTTCTCGTCAGACTTTCAGGAGTTCTAAGTCGGAGTTCTGGCCCTATAAATAACGTACCTATTTGGAAAGGGAATCGCCAAAACATTCCCTTTAAATCATTATTCCCTGTGTTGACACCGTGTTTCGAATAATTTTTTGGAGAGTTGTCTTTTCCAAGGCTGGTAATGCAAAAAGCTATTTCGCATATTAGGAAAAATAAATGCATGTAACGTTAGCAGATCTTAATATATATGCGTCAGTATATGTTATAGTTTTGTGTTATAGTAAATTTATGGTTACTTTTTCTTGGTATTTGGTCTACTTTTAATAATACAATTCAATTACAATTATAACATAATCTTTAATCCAACGTTTCGATCATATTTTGATCATTTTCAAGGAACAACATTGTTAACAGCATCAATGAAATGTTATGGTAAATAGTGTTTAAGCATTCTCATAAGTCAGATGATCCCTATCATTTGTCATCTCTGTCTCGTCCATTCTAGACATAGGCCATAGGCCTTTTCCAACTAAAGCTATTTTGGGTCCTTGAGTCCCCTTTGTTCAGTTTGAAGATACCTACTATTACTACTACACATTATTTAGTCTGATACTAATTTAATAATAAGGCAGCGGTTTGGTTATATGCATTACCCACGAAATACCATCCCAGCAACATCTATTTTTACGTTCTTGCTGTACGGTACACTTCTTAAAGGAGAATATTTATGAGCTTATACATTTTATAGAAATTTGTTCAAAAGAATACCTTAGTTTTTAAACTGAACTCGTCTAACGATAGTAACGATATACCTTACACCTCCATAGAGAATAATTAACACAGTTGTAGTTTAAATTAGTAATTGATTAAACATTTTTAGCTTGAATAATCTATCTATTATCTAATGTGCTAGACACTACTACAACTAGAGTTTAAAAAAGAGTTTTGGTGTAATGTAGTTGATTTGTATAATTTTCTGTTGTAACATTGAAGTTGACTTTAAACTATAATTTCCGCTATATCTTAAAAAAAGCTTTTAATATACAAAAAATAATCTTTTGCACAATTTTTTGCATTTGAGATACACTTTGGGCAATTATGCAATAGTATAGGTACCCAGTAAGTTTCTTACAGTGTGTAAAAGCCTCCATAACAACAAATCTAGAGTAACATGGATTCATGGTACTATTCATATATTATCATTCATGGATCACTGAGCGATCCCTTCAAAAACTGGAGTTAGGCAGGGATGTGTCTTATTCAACATATTCATGCCTCTCCTATTCAACATATTCATGGCAGCGCTGCCTATTATAGTAGACAGCAAACTGCAGGAAAGAGGAATGGACATTAGATACAGATACGACGACGCGACGGTCTGTTTAACATAAAAAGGACTCAGGGCAAAAACACGTATAAAATTCATCACAGAACTTCACTTCAATACGCTGATGACTGCGCTCTAGTTGCAAAAGCGTTACAGCAATTACAAGAAATGCTGAACACATATACCTGGACATACGAGACTTTTGGTCTTAACCTGAACATCGATAAAATTAAAAACATGTGCACTCCCTCGGAAATTCATAACAATGCTATAAAAATCGGAGAAGAACTATTGCAATATGTAGCGGAATTCAATTACCACGGCAGTTTGGTTTCGGAAAAGGCTGAAATTTAGAGCAGAGTTACCGGCGCTTCAAGAGCATTCCGGAAATTAAAAAAAGACAGGGTTTTCTACAATCATGACTTAAGCACAAAAACGAAACTTGCAGTGTAACTGTTAAGAATCAAATGGTACCACTGTGTCTCAAGCGTATCGGTTCTTGAAAAATCTCTCTGCGAGAGCGCTGAAGTCACGGTTACTAAATCCCGCTTAAGATGCTGGTGGGGTATGCAGGATGCAAGAGAACCGCCTACCAAAACTCTTTTTTACGGTGAGCTGGTAGACGATAAAAGGAAACCGATTGGACAACTCAGAAGGTACAAAGGATATTTTCCATAAAAACTTAAAGGGAATAAGTATGCAGAATCAGTGGGAGGAAGCAGCGCACAATAGAACGCAATGGAGAAGAATTGTAAACTCAGTTAACGACAAAACCAAAAAAGTAATGATGCAACAAATTAATGAGATTTTTAAATGTCCGGATTTCGGAAGAGAGATAACATTACATATCGGGATTTTCAGTCACAGAAAAGCTCATGAACGAAATCGCCTTGCGTAGCCATCCTCTGATGGGTGTCAAGTACTCATCTCGTCAGCGAGTAATGGCAGAAGAAGAAGACTTTTATACTTTCTGTAAAATCGTAAAATCCAAGGACCTAGCTCCAAAACCGCAAAAGAACTGCTAATGCTTAGCAGGAATAAATTGCGGATTACAACAGGCCTCTTGACAGGACATATAGCTGTCAAGTGTTACCTGAACAAGCTCAATCAAGGAAGTCTTTGCTGCAGACTCTGCGATAAAGATCCTGAAACAGCGGAGCACATAATATGTCACTGCGAGGCTCTGGATCGCAAACGACACTTTTTATTTGGGAAAGCTAGGCTAGAACCGGAGGAACTATGCTCCCATCCTATCAAGGACCTGCATAAGTTAGTGCAGGGCACAGGGATAGGAGAATGGGTGCAGATATAGAAAGGGGACAAACACAATAGGCCTCACAGGTCGCAATGTTTCCGGCAGAGGACGGCCCCTTATTGTGGAAAAAAATCGTAAAATACAAGCAGTCTATTGTTGTACATCATTATAGCATCAGTGCAATAAATATCTTTCATTCTCGCTTCTATATTCCTACTTTTAAAAATAATACTTTTGACAACTATCCAAAAATATTTTAGAACATGACATTCATTTACAATAATATTAATTAATAAAATAAATTCACCGCATTCCACTAAAAGAAAAAAATATACTCTAATTTTATGTCGCCTATCGTTTGTATTGTTCAATAAAAAGCAGGTATAAACTTTTCTGTTATTTTTTCAGATGCCATGCTAAATATACATGCCCATCAATTATTACGAAATGTAAAACAAATTTGCACAAGTTGTCTAAATACACGCCAGACCTAATCTGTTGCATTTGAAATAGACGGTGCATTGGCAGCTCCAAAATTATGATGTAAAATAAAGCTTTTACTTAATGTGCCGCAATTGAAAATTCATTTTCTATTTATATTTGAGATTCCAAACAGGTTTTAAAGCATCCATTTAAATTGTCGGTGCTAAGTTTAATATGAATAAACAAAAATTATATAACTGTGCGAGATGGGCTTAATAAGAATACATTCAACATGTTTTTAGGATTCTAATGGAGAACATTATTATAACATTCTTGGGATAAATTCAACATTATTCTGGAATTCTGAGAAACGATACTGGATGTGCCCAATATAAATGTATTTAATAATTTACAGAAATCACCCAACTTCAGGCAATCTGAATAGGGAAAAGAATTCTGAAACTTGGAACACCTAAACTGGTTGGATCTTTTATATTTAATCCCTTAAGTGATGTAACGACTACTAACCTACTATAAGCGATACCAATTAAACTTTTAGTAACGCAATCGAGGGCGCCATTTTTAAATTCATTGTTGCCAACCATGGACATATTCGGCGCCGCCGGGCTGACTAATTGGAATTTAAATTTCCCGCTGGGGATTGAGGTGGTAGCTCTGCTGTAAAAAATGTTAAGTTGCCATATTTATTTATTTATTTTCTGACATTGTTATTCGTTTTGACACTTTAGTTTTGTATTACGACTTTTTGGTTTAAAGGAATTGTTTTGTGATACTATAAGCTTAAAAATGTTTACTAGCAGACCTTGGAGTCGAACATTGTTCTTTTTAGAATCTCTTTTAGTGCGAAGCATACAAGATAGCTTAATAGCCGATGAAAAAACTCCGGATCGGGATTTTTTTTAACGCAAATTAAACGAAACACCCTGTATATTATTCCATTTTTGGCTTCCTTTCAGATCGCTTTACATAATCCTAAGCCATGAGTAAATATATTTCCATAATTTCAGAGATATTAATAAATAAATAAAAATTATATATTTTTCAGCTTTTCTTGAAAAAAATATTAAGAATACAAGAACTGTCCTGAAACCAAAACTATATTAGATATTTACTTTTGATGATCTGTACTTACTTTGCTATAAATATGGAAATCGTAAATCACATAGGATGTTCAAAATTCTACGCCAAACTTTCTAAAATATAAAATATTTTTTCTTTGTTTTTTTTTTAAAACGGAACACCCTGTATATTATTTTTTCAATAGATGGAGAATTAAAAAATGAACTTTTTTGCATTTTTAGAGTATTTCAAAATTTTTAACGATTTCACAGATATTCCCGGTTTTGTATTTTATATAGCATTTTCTATAGTAAATTTTTATCAAAGCCACCCCCAATTATTTTTCTCTCGCATTTTACCATTGAAAGCGCCATATGAAATAATACTGCGTGTATCCGGAAAACTATTAAAAATTTTGAAATACTTTAAATACAAAAAATGTTCAGTTTTTAATTGTCCGTCAAATAAAATAAT